TACATAGAAACGTTCACGGGCAATTAGAGTAACTACAAAAGATCACAATTGCTTAAACAAGCTTCATTTCTTTAACATTCCCAGCGGCGGTATCAAAGTATTCTTAGTATATTGCATTAACACAGCGTGGTGCGTTTCCGTTCAAGCGAATCACGGCCATTTATAGAGCGCCTTGGCAACCATAACCAGACGTGTGTATTACACATGGTTGATATAAGCATATTTCAGGTAAATAATAGATGCATTATTGAATATAACTTAATTACGTATTCGTATAGTAGGGATATGTTTAAAATAGTTCATGTATATAGGCAGGAACTTGTCAGGTACAGCATTTTCCAGGTCACGAAGCAAATCACCACCCATGTGTAGCTGAATGGTCTGCGGGCAACACTATTACGTGTTCTATGCATCGATGTGGGTCTCTCCACGTGTATCATATTTTGTCACGGTGTTTGTTCCTAGCATGGAAATGTGTTTTGCAATTATTGATTTATTCATTCTTCCACTGACATGAAACCGCTATTGTCAAATTAAGGTGGAGATGCAGTTTTGTGGGCACTTGGGGGTGAAATTTGTTTTTGCTTTTTATTATCCAAACAGTCTTGGCTATAGACTGTTAAAATTTTGTAGAATTTTGAATAGGGGAACATACTCAAAAGACAATTTTAAAATATAGATAACAGGTGCAAACATTCTCTCTTTTGAATGCTTAGCAAGAGTGTACATAAATAATAAAAAAGAAACATGGTGAAAAAAGGAATGACGGGATCTCCATATTATGCACTATATTTAACTTTACAAAAAAACAATACATTTAAATTTGGAACTGTTACAGCCATTTTAATTATGAACATTAGCAAACTTCTTACTGAGTAAATGGTTATGCAAATTAGCTATTATCTCAGCTTCTTTTTAGTGCACATCCCAGAACTTTAAAACAAATAGCTTAGACGCTTTGACCTTTTGTTTTGAAATTTTGACAAATGATTGGCAATGTGTTTATCTTAAAAACTCCGTCGGGGCATTATTTTTGGTTGAACAGTTGTACAACAATCGTACAGACAACTAGCCTGGGTGTTAATTTATGCATAAACTTGAAGTAGTGAAATTTGAGCTGCTGCTGGTAGACAGTTTTCAAGACAGCGTTTTCTTCATAGTAAACATATGTACCCGTAAACCAATCTTGTCAGGAAACAGAAGCATGGTTTAGAAGCTAAATTTTTAAAAATAAATTTTGACCAAAAAAGCACATTTTTGTGCATATTTCTAATTACAGTGTCCATTAAAAAAAATATTTACAAAATTTTAAAATTCATACAATAAGCTTTCCGAAAATATATAGTTTTGTGGACAAGGAAGGTCATCTTGGTTTTCTAATTAACTAATTAAAATATCTGTCACGTAAACTGCATCTCTACCTTAATCAATAATAACCCTGCTGAAGGGATAATATGCTATTATGTTGGTCAGACCGAAAAATATATTGTATTAAGTTTCAATGAATTACTGTTTTTCTGATTTTTTCAACGACGGTCGTTCAGTCTCTCCCTGAAATAACTCTTCAGAAATATTATCAACTACCGATTTCACAAGCGCACAATGCGCAAAGAACGTTAGGAACCATGCAGCTAATGTCGAAAGACAATCACAGTTGTGAAAATTCAAATTATTTGGTCTTGTGGTGAAAGTATTCTGAGACAATTTGAACGAACATAAACTCATTTGGATTACGGTGTGTACTCAGCAGTCGCTGTGGCAGGTATGACCACCAAACTTGTGGCCCATAATACAGTAATTTGCTCTAGCAACGGCAGTTGGACATCGTGGGCATAAGTACACCAGTAGTCCACTGCACAATACACTGATAAAATTCCGGAAAATCTTCCAACAACCACATTTATATCTGAATTGCAATGTGTACATGTGACACTTAATAAACACCCGTACCTTTTGCTCTGCAACGAGTTTTTCAGAAACTGTTTAAGCAACATTAAACATCAATTGAAAAAGTGAATACATCGTTAATTCGCTGCACGATTCGCTGTTTTAAGGTTATAGTGGATGGGTATTCATAACACTGAACACATACGCAGTGTTGAAATCGAACGTATTTACGTTAATTTTTCATGGCATTTTATAATTACAATCTTTGCCTCAACGCGCTCCTCTGATCACCATATGGAATTGTCGTTCCTATTTGCTACTTCATTGGGTAATAGCGTGAAGAAGAACCCAATCTACCCAATCTACCCTACATATCCGCACATGTCTACATGATCTGAAGGGTTGATACTTTTGCTCTTATCGGTTCGAAAGCCTAAAAGCGATTGTGGGATTCTCCAAGGATTGGCCACAAACCAGGAAATATATGTTTTTTCTTTGTTTATTTTCGAGACTTGATAATATTTTATGTCTAATAATGAACGACCACCTAGTGCCGTTTTTAACATTCACGATTCATGTGTTCACCAGTGAGAAGAAAGAAATTCCTTTCTTTGTATGTTGTACTCAAACGAATCGTCCAATCAATCGCCCAATGCAAATGCACGTGTTATATCAAAACACGGTTATTAAATTAAACAAAATTAAATAAACAAATTACATGTAAATCATGGCGAATGTTTAAATGTAATTGAAAGAAAAAAAGTATGTAAATGAAGGATGAGTTATCAGACGGCAACTGCAGGTCAATAGAAATGTAGATATTAATAAAGTGAATATGAAACTGACCGTGTAGCAGTTTATTAATATAATAATTAAAACAAGATTTTAATAAATAAAATGGTAACATGTAAAAAAAAACCGGTGTTCTTTGTTCGTGTGATAACTCTCATACAGATCATACTTGTTTACAACTCTGGAAGGTCAATTGGAAACTACCAGGTGTGTTTGTGATTTACATAACAAAGAATGTTTACGACTTGCCTACATGAGGGCTTGCATGTCATCGTGAGACAGCTCCTAGTAAGACTAAATTCCGATTGGCTCCAGTGGGAACCCAGATGGTATACCTGAAACTGGACCATTTGTGCTCTATAAAAAGGCAAGATTGAGGACAGTTGTTTTTCACTTTTTCAATTAAGTGTGTGTTGCTGCTACTAAATTGTGAGACAAGTAATACAGGCTTCAATCATCATTCTTTGAGACTTGTATGAACTGCTCTTCGATATTCATCTATCAACAGTGCCCTCCAGAATAACAGCGTTTCTCTGCAAGCAAGACTCCTGTATCTCTTTGTTGTTGTGTTGCAAGAAGCCATACACTGTCATCAATTTCCACATTCTGGAACTGCACACCTCCTCCTATTTTAGTGAATTTATTCATTGTATTATTCTGTGTTTTGTATCTTATCATTATTATGAGAATTACTAAAGCCAGGAGCCTTAACTTGATATTTTTTGATATCCCGATCTTGTCTACCACATTCTAGCAGTGAAAGTTCTTCCTGTCCAGTGTCAGTTCTGTGGGTGTTTCTCTCAATATCAATAATCAGGCCTTACACTGTGACATTGGACATATTACCATAAACCTCAATTAGAACATGTTCAAATAACCATGATTGTCGCGGAATATTAAAAATGTTTTGTAATTATGCCCAATTAGAAAATAAGTGCTCTGCAGAAACCAACGTGTAGTAAATAATGCATGTAAAACAACCAACAGATACGTGTACTATATAGGTTATCAATACTATGTTATTCAACATCATGTTTCTTTTCGGTAGCTGCGCTCCATTCCATGTGAATTACTGCATGCGGTACATTCTACAGTTTAAAACTGTCACGCTATTCCAACCACCGTTGTAGATCAGGACAGTATTAATCGTGACTGGTAATTATAACCGAGTTTTAATCAGTACTTTGGTTGTTGCAGGAAATATTATTAATGTTATTTAACGTTCATCATTTTATTGGAATATTGGATAATCTTTTTAATGGTTGAATAAACTCTTTACAATAACATGTGACATAATTTAACTTTGCAGAATAAAGTGTATTGTCAATCTGATTACAATCTATGATTTTAATTTTCATATTTTAATTAGTTCAATTAGCTATTCATTATCTCAGCATAAGTTTTTTGCGCTAAAAATGTATGAATAAACAAACAAACAAAAAATACACAAACCAACATATATAAAAATAAAAATGCAAAAAAATAAAAACAATAATCAGATTTGTGTACTTTCTAACTACCTGACCTGTGCATACGTTTTCCAACATATTCCGGTGCATGTCCCGTGATACGACTAAGTGCAGACATTCCCCTGTATAATTAATTTCCCAATCTATCACTATATAGCATTTTTTTCCTGCGGACTTATCTGTTTCCGGTCATGCTTATCTAAAGTATATGTCGAAGGTAAGAAATATCTGTTTGACATTGTATTTTACTTCTCTGTGACCGTGAATCAGATAAAGCACGCAATGGAAGCATAACTTCACAAGTACGGCATTAAACAACTGATATTATTCGAGTACATGTTTACATTAAGTGTAGATCTCACCAGAGTCTAAATAATTTCGAATTGCCTACTAACTGCAAGTCTGTCTCGCTCATTCTCTATCAACGAAATCTGCATTAAATAGTCACAAAAATTTGTTGCTATTTTCGCTGATAAGGGAAATTGATTTTTGATTGTTCGTTAGTAATAAAAGACCCACAACTATATCAGATGATTCAATCAAATATACCCATTCATGAAATGAAACATTGTTTAGTATACCTCTAAATGTTATAATCAGAAAACCACGATTATGCTTTTAGACATAGTATATAGTGTACATAGAAACAGGTAATAATACTTAATAATCTTGTCGATTCCCCCAAGACACTCAGTCAAGTTAGCACGTGGGTCTGACATTTGGGAAATATTACAAGCCCGCCAGTATGTTAGTTGAAGAAATAGTATTGATGTTGTAGGTACGTTGCCAAAGTTAAGCACGGAGCATTAATTTATCAGGTCAATTCACATTGTTATTATTGTTGAATTTAGTTCAGTATGATGAACAGCGAAACCTGGGTATCGTTTCGTCGTGTGACTTGCAATCACATATGCAGTGTTTAATCACGTCTTGGAAATCTTGCTTGAAATACGCGTATACTAGCGGATTTAAACAGCTATTTATGGAGCTCAGGAATACACTGACGTAGTACGAGACCTGTAATGCAAACGTTAGACTGTGATCATCAGAGAGTAACAGCAGTCTTATAATCCAAAAAGGGAGCCAACATATAACGAATAGAATCACTGAAAACAGCACCATCGCACCGACTCTACCGACGTGAAACTGTCGTCGGCGTTGACGCGATCTTCCATTTGTCAGGTATCTTAGTATCCTGCAGTAACAAGTTATAATACATATCAACGGTAGAACGAAACCAAAGAGAAACGTGTATATAATGAACAGCTGTCCGACTAACACCGGGCAGATGACGTTACAGACCGTTACTCCATCGAACGTTTGTGTCGCTGAGTACATCCACAACGGAACCGTGACAGTAAACGCGCCGATCCAAGTCGCGGCACACACCACTTTAGTTTTGCGGACTGTCCTATAGTTTTTAGACCAAACGATGTGAACGATAGCTAAGTATCGATCAATAGCCATCGCAGTCAAAGTGAAAATACCAGTAAACATATTAGAACCATCGATTCCCATCACTACCTTGCACATTACGTTACCAAATATCCACCGCTTCGTTGTGTTGAAATACGTCATAAAAGGCAACCCGAGTAGAAAAAGGAAATCCGCAGACGCCAGGTTTAAGATGTACAAATTGGGCAGCGATGTCATTCCTGGGTAGCGAAGTATAATGTAGATCACAATTCCGTTGCCGATCAATCCTATTACGCAGACGAGGCTGAAGAATATAGGGATCACGAAATTAAACAACCACGGCGGTAGGTCGGGTCTGTATGTTTCAGTTCTGTTATAATCGCTTAAATTGGTGAAATCCATTGCGGAATACGGCCGGTAAACGTACGTAGCTAAGACACCATTGTATGTGTCAAGCAGTCGTCAACACTACGCGTGTAGCAAAACGAGTTCCGTTATTGACGAACTCCACATCTGTCAACTAAGGCGCAATACGAGTGACTGGGCTTGAAATTTATTATCGATTCAGATATAATGAAACTCCCTCAACGGCCACATGTGTTTTACAATCAAAGGAACAGTGATGGCACGTACGTACTGTAAAAGTAATTCACATTGTCTTCACATACAGGCAATCCAACAAATATCGTGTATTTATTTCTGAAAATATCAATTTTGTGTCAGAGTCTCTTGCGGTAGTAAATAACCAGTCGTGTATTTAATATAATGTTTAACAAACAAAAAGAAAGACAGTGAAACAAGCAAAATATACACAAAACACACATTGTGTAATGTATTCACGTCTGCATATTTTTATTTTTTTAGGAAAGAAACATAAACACACAGTTGCAATTTTACAACTGTATAGTCAAGATAATATTCATTATAAAACTCTTACATTGATAAAGTACGATTTCAATTTTTCAAAAAAATTAAACATTGTATTTATTTGAAACTAAAAATATATTTGATTTACGTGCAACTCTCCATGTGTGTTCAGACCTTTTGTAAAATCTTTCTTCTTTGATACAAAAAAATTCTTCAATTACTTGTCCTGTCTTGATACTACTATCGATGAATGTATTTGGTTGTATTTTTTTCTGGAATACTGTCTCTAATAATTTCATGTACTCACCCCTCCAACTATTCTATTCTTTCATACAGTTTCACCCTAGTATCCGTTTAATGGTTTGATTGTTTATTCCCCCAGTGTAAAATACCTCTAATATGCGGCATTTTGTTCTTTTAAATATATATCTATATCTATTCCTGGCAATTTAGAAGTATAAAAGCAGCAATATTCAACAACAACAGAATTAAATAAATTCAATATTAGCCAGGCAGACTGCTTCTCTCTGACCAAGCCTTTAATTTTCTCTGACAGTATAAAAATACAAATTTTAAGTTTAATTTATCATCCGTATTGAACAGTCAATGCGATAAACAGTGTGTTTTATTCGAAACCATAAAAGTGCTTCCCTGTGTGACAAGTCTCCAATGCGCATGTATATCAAGCCATATAAAATAATTCGTTTAGAACACATATTGAAGAGAACATATTCGAAACATGACCAATACATATTACCTATTTATAACAAATTAGATGCCGAATATTAAACTATCATGTTCTCATTCGTCGACCAATGTCACGTAAATTCCTGTTAGAAGATGATAACCTGCATGAATGAGGTAAGTATTCGTACATATTAACAACGTTGTATGTTAACAAATTATATTCAATGTTCACATATACTTGAAAAAAACAATTCAATTCAATTCAATTCAAGCAATTCAAGCAATTTTCAGCTGAAAACTGTTGGTGATACACATAGTATGAAACTAAAATATTAACCATCATCTCCTATATACTCACATTTGTTACTGGTTCAAAACAATTCGAATCAGAATGTGATCCAATAATCAAAACGTGAAATGATATGAACATTTAAAATAAAAAAGTACTGTATTTTCCAATTGGAAATTGTAATACCATCAAATTCATTTCATGGTAACATTCAAATGAATACGCCAGGAAATACGTGGTTATGTGAAATGAACACGCTCGAATATAGTAGACGCAGTCAGTAACAGCGTGATGATACTCAAATTGAGAGCAATATTGATTTTCTGACAGTGTATAGCATAATCACCATTCCCATATATGAAGGCCTCAAAGTAATACGAGTAGATGAGAGAACGAGTTTTGCAAGATTAGTTGATGATGAATTCATATGTCATATGTCATAGTGGATGGCCTATATCGATTATATTTTGTGAAAATTGCATTTACGACTTGCTTATGGATATGGCGTTAATTGTCATATGTGTCTGGCTGAAAATAATAACTGAGCGTGGCATACTAGGAGATAGTATAGTATCCACTTGCCAACATTATAATTTCAATACGGTATAAAAATCGAGTTTAAGTGACAGGACCCTCAAAATGGCATGTATTGAATGGTCAGGGCAGGATATGTACACTGTAATATCATTAGCTATACAAATTTTGTTAGCTATTCTGACAATAATGTTAGTGTGTTAATGCAGCTTGAAATAATTTACTCCAAGAACATTGTTGCCATGCACTATTCGATACACGTTACAGACCAATCCAAGTCAGAAATTCTGTTTTCGATTTCTAAACAGAAAGCATAACACATTCCGCATAAACTGAACTGGGAGTTTTTCTTTGAGGGTGCATGATCAAACTTAATGATTGTTTACACATAAAACTATTTTGAAATGAGAAAAAAAACATTACGATGTTTGCGTGACGTATACGACATTGTTTTGAAGGGATTTAATCGATATTTATGGATATTTGATGTTAACAATATTCCCCTCCCACACAAAGACACATTGGTGTTACGTGCAACATGAGATTCGCGTTTTGAAACTTGTATGTTTTTCTATAATCCTCCACGAAATCAATTAACCTGTATATCAGGAAATCGGAAATCCCTCATTACATTTTTAAATTACTATGTGTGGCATTCATGACCTATCCATATCAAGCGTCTCACGTGGGAGAATTTAATTAGGAAACTATTAATAATTCAGATAAGATAGATAGTAGATTTAGATCTTACTAGCTGTTACTAGCTTACTATCTTCGGAGCACTTTTGTGTTTTTTTTATGTAATAGGATGTCACTACTTTATTAAATTTAAATAATTCAACTGGAAATCAAAACACCTGGTGCAGTTCTTTGTTACCTAATGGACTTTGATATTCTACACTTGGTGAGCGGTGGCGGTGGTTCGAATCACATCGGAACATTCATACATTTTTCTCGAAATCAGTTCAATTTGAAGGACTTTTGAAAGCACAATCGCCAACGACGTTTCAACCCACAATACCAGACCATAACTGTTTCAGAAAGTGCTAATGTATAAGAGAAATTTTTTCCAAACTGTTGTTTTTGAAATACTCCAGAAAACAAATGTACATGCAATGTTTCAACCCTAAACACCCGACTATGCATAATGCGCTCCTATGTCTACCATGCAGTGTTCAGCAGCAGACTGAACATACACGGAGCTGTTTTCAAACCTCAAGTCAGCAAACGTGTTAGTAAATGACGCAGCGCTGGACAGGCGTTAACTTTCTATGGTCCAATAAATTAATTTTCTATTGGCGGAGCCCCAATGTTGAAAACCATATAATGGTGATTGCTACCCGAATGCGCGAATTTGCGCATGATCTAAATGAGCCCCTTTAAGTCGTTAATAATATAAACATATTTATTTCACTTTCATTTAGAAATTTCATATATACGATACTATATGAAAACTAATATTGAACAATAATTTAGGTTTTCACTTGTTTGTGAGACACACTTTTGTAAAGTGTTTGCGTGTTCAAGTAACTGGTAACTTGTGTCGTGAGCATGCTCATTAAACAATTGTAATTAGGAGTATGACAGGTGTCATTTTCTTTGAAGAAGCAACAACGATTTGAACCTATCGCTTTTTAGATTTACTGAGAAAGAAAGGATCCAGAAGATTTGGAATGATTGCCTTTAGATTTACTGAGAAAAAAAGGAACCAGGAGACATCCTAAATAACATTTAAGGTATAGTGGTTTTGTTACTCCATTATAAAACGTGTAAACAAAGTAATTGATAGAGCCAACATATGCAGCCGTGTACTGCATAGTCATTTGTAGCGGTCTCCAATCATTTAATTATGTGCGAGTTTGTACGGTACTAGATTTACAGCATCAGGAAATTACATCCTGCATAAATTCATTGTCGACATTCCTCCGAGTCATGATATATGTTACCAAATAAAATTATAGAACAGAATTCAACAGGAAAATTCAATTCGTTTTACTGGTGTGTAGTCATATTTTCGTTTCTGCATACTTTATAACAACAGTAGTATTTCTGATTCAAATATCACATTCCTCGAAACAATAATGAGATAATTAAGTTCAACATTACTTAAAATATTTTGATGATATTGTATTTTTTTCACACTGGAGAGAAAAAATGAATTCTTGTTAAGAGCGGACGAGATGATTTTGCTAATATTAGGAATTAATTTTAAAATGTGTCGCTGATACAAGTACTTTTCAATATTTAAATTGTGTTTTGCGTGAAAGCATTTTTCAAAGCATTGCGATGATAAACCTTTGCAATACATGTTTTTGGTGAAAACACTTTTCAACATATGTGTTTATAGTGAAAGCACTTTTAAAATTGTTGTGATAATGAATACTTTTCAACACATGTTTCTAGTGAAAGCACTTTTAAAAATGTGTTGTTTTATTGAATATTTTTAATACGTGTTCCTGGTGAAAACATCTTTTAAAATGTATCTTCAGTAAAATGTCTTTTAAAAGTGATAATGAATACTTTTCAATAAATATTTCAGGTGGAAGCATTTTACATAATGTGTTGTATACAAAAATTCACAAAATGTTGCAATCGAAAACATTGACTTACAAGTGATTTCACTATAAACACCTTTTGTAATTATAAAAGTGTTTTAAAATTGGGGAAAAGCTTATAAACACTTTAAATGTTTTACCTGTTAGGACGAATGTCATTGCTAAAACATATACAATATCACTTGATAATTTTTTAGTGTATCTATATTTATAGATGCGAAACTGTCACAATGTAATTACAACTACGAGTAGATAGGTTTAAACATACTTCCGTGCTAGATACAGTGCTATTCACTGATAAGGTATAAATGGTCTGTCAGCACTAGCTTGATCAACTCGTGTATTATACAATTTGGTCAACTTTTCCATTCGTATCTTATAGTTCAATTCACAGCCGTATTAACAATTGTTTTAATAAAAAGATCGCCAGTTGAATAAACGTTCTTCAGATGTTTGCAAATCAATTTAAA